CAAACAAAATCTTATCCTAAAGCAGCTTCTTAGATGTAAAGAAGTGACTTGCTTGCCGCTGATTTATCCCACCAGGCGAGCAGTTATCAGCTCACAGTGGGGATTAGAGGCCTCCTGGATGGTTGCTGGAAATCCTCTGGAACAGGTAGTGCTCCAGGACCTGCTCCTTGCCTATCCACCATTCAGGTTTTCCCAGGACAAAGGGTTTTCCAGGACTCAGGACTTTCAGTCCTCAAATCGGAACAGTCTTCAGCAAATTGGGACAGTCATTCCACCTGTCTCTAGATCCCCAAAGAGCATACAAAGGAGGACACTCGTGTTCGAAGAGCAGAGAAGATGTAGGGTTATCCCCTCCAGGAACCGTGATAAGGAAACAAGAGTCAACACTTGTGTAACCTTTTTTTGGCTTACGAAAAGCCTCACCAAATGTTCCTGATTTGATGATCCTTCAGGCAGCAAGGCAAAGCAGGTGTTATTGACTCACTCATCTTTTAACTGAGAAAAAAAGAAGACTCAAAGAGGTTCACCGATTGGTCCCAAAGCACATGTTTTTGGACTTCCCTCTGATCACATTGCCTCCCTGCTGCTCATTGTTTCCCCTCTTTTAAAAATTGCCGAAGACCAATTTGAGGCCTGCCGGCTCTCCCCTTCAGTCCAGTTTCTGATGTGAACCATCTCTGTATCTCTGACTGATTCGCTGGCCAGGAATGTTCAGAACTACCCTTTGATAAGAAGCCAGTGATTGACAGAGCGTTTATTCCAGGGTTGCACATGATAGCCACAATCATTGGTGAGAATCGAAGTGCCCAACAGGAGGAGCTGGTTATATGAATCATTACTTCTCCAATCAGTGGAATTCTGTGTGGCCACAACAAAGGTCCTTTAATCGGAGTTCTTAGACTGGCCACAAAACCTATGTATCTGAAATCACTGGGGCTTTTTTAAAAATCAGTGAAGAGACTGGTTACTTCCCAGTGCTCCTTTTGCCAGGATAAGGGATTTCCTCCTGGGAAAATAGTCTGGGTACTGCCCAGCTATGTCTCTGGGACTCTGTGGATCTCCTGTCCCAATCTGGGGTATGTTTGGTGATTGATTTCCTGTGCGGGAACTTGGCCTCACCCTTGAAGGATGGCTAGACAATTTGGATGGTCAGAGGAGAGAAGAAAGGTCTCAGGCAAAAGTGTGGAGATATGAGTACATACAGTATGTTTGCCAAGTGGGGAATAAGCCCATGATTGATTCGGTAAAGCTGGATCTCCCACGTGCCAGACACCGTGCTGTGAACCGGGAAGACAGTGGTGGGGGAGGTGGGCCCAGGCCTGTCTTCGGGAGCTCATGTTGTGGCAGAGCTGAAAACTCACCAAGAAATAGGGGCAAATCTGCTTGGAATATATATATTTCCATATATAGCTGTATCTCCAAATATATAGATTTAACATATATTCCAAGTATATGTAAATATAGGTGTATAATTATATCTCTCTAAATATATTTTGAAATATACTTGCAAATGCATTTGGAAAGGTGGGTCGTGTAGACGATTTTAGAGGCTAGATTTCAGATTTCAGACCTCAGCCCGTGAGAAACAAGCAGCCCTTTAGGGCTTCTGAGCAAAGAAGTAATAGGACCAAAGTGCTTTTTAGGAAGACCAACATGCCATCCATAAAAAGGATACACTGGCAGAGGGGAAAGACAAGACATTTGGAGACAAAGTCACACTCTCTTCCTTTCAACCGGTATCTGCTGTATACCCAGTTTGTTTCCTTAATAAATATTGCTGGCATGCCAGCTGTGGACAGGGCCTGCAGTAGGCACTGAGCATTACAAAGGTGGACAAGAGAGGCCTGGCCCTCCCCACTTGGACTGGATATTCTGGTTTGAAAGATGGGCAGTAGATGCATGCAGCTGACATGTGCCCTGAAAAAAATAACGAGGAAGGGGAGAAGACCTGCTTTAGAGTGGGGGCCTAAGGCAGGAGAAAGAGTCAGCCATGCCAAGCAGAGGGACTGGCAGTTCTGGAGAAAGAACAGCATGTGCAGATGCCCTGTGGCCACAGAGAAGCTTGCAGGCAGGGGAGAGCTCAGCCATGCATTTGGAAAGGCTGGAAGGATCCAGAAGGTGCCAAGTACTGTTGGCCACCAGTAAGAATTGGGTTTTTTTTTCTGAGAGCAGGTGGAAGCAAACCAGTGTTTGAGAACTATTGTTCAGGCTGCTGTCTGGCAGCAGATGAGAGGGTCAGGTGTTAGAAGCAGGGAGGCTTTTGTAGTCGTCCAGGCCATGCTTGGCTGACTCAGGAGTGAGGACTGAGAGCGGGTGGCACCAGTGGAAATAAAGAACAGGTCAGGCATGGTGGCTCATGCCTATAAGTCCAGCACTTTTGGAGGCTGATGTGGGAGGATCACTTGAGGCCTGGAGTTCAAGACCAGCCTGAGCAACATGGTGAGACCCTGTCTCTACAAAAAAAAAAACTTTAAAATTAGCAGGGCTGGCTGGGTGTGGTGGCTCACGCCTGTAATCCCAGCACTTTGGGAGGCCGAGGTGGGTGTATCATGAGGTCAGGAGTTCAAGACCAGCCTGGCCAAGATGGTGAAGCCCTGTCTCTACTAAGAATATAAAAATTAACCGGGCATGGTGGTGGGCACCTATAATCCCAGCTATGGGAGGCTGAGGCAGAGAATTGCTTGAACCTGGGAGGCAGAGGTGGCAGTGAGCCAAGATCTCACCACTGCACTCCAGTGTGGGCGACAGAACAAGATTCAGTCTCAAAAAAAAAAAAAAAAAAAAAAAAAAGCAGGGCATGGTGGCGTGTGCCTGTAGCTACTCAAAAGGCTGAGATGGGCTGATTGCTTGAGCCTGGGAGGTTGAGGCTGCAGTGAGCCAAAATTATGCCACTCTCCAGTCTGGGTGATAGAGCAAGACTCTACTCTGTCTCTAAATAAATAAATAATGATAATAATGAAAAGAAAGAAGGAAGACCAACACACAGAGTGCAGGCAGATCAGGACAAGAACTCTGTCTGCAGGTGGATATATGTAGAGTTGGACAACAAACCTCAAGGCAACGTTTTCCAGGCTCAGTGACCACATGGACTTCAGTGTCCTCACTGCAGATGCTTAAAGCATACCATTTCCTTTACCCCTTTCTCTTCCATTAGCAGCTGTGAACAAGAGAGGCCTGGCCTGGCCCCTCAAAGACCTTCAGAGGTCTTTTGGAATCTTTAAGATAAATAACACTGGTTGAGCTTTTCCTATGTGCAACTTGCAAAGTGCAGTAGATGATGTTTTCTTATAACATGGCTCAAAGCAGCCCCTTGAGGGCGGTCTTGTTATCATCTCTGTATCCCAGATGAGGAATCTGGAGCTCAACAAGGTCACAGGGTTTACCTATGGCAGGATCTTGGTTAGAGCGGGGGTAAGTCTCACTCCGAAGCAATCACTCTTGAACCACACTGGAGCCTTCCCTGACATGCGAGTATCCCAGAATAGTTTCAAGTCTCCCCTACCTCTCCAAGGCATTGCTCTAGGACTGACGAGCTGCCAACACTTACCTTTGCTGGAAGCTTCAGTCAGAGCCCGTGTCCTGTACCTACAGGGACTGAAGACTGCCATCTTGTGGCCATTGCCTGCCTTTTTCTTTTCCTGTTAAAAGAAAGGAAAACGGAGTTCCCACATAAAAGACAGGCCTGCATATTTATAGAATCACACCCTGTAAACAGGAAACTTCTCAGTCTTAGAGAAGGAGCCCAGTAACATAAACAGCATATTGCTAGTGAGTTCCCCCACCCATTCAACAAACATTTAAATACACACACACACACACACACACACACACTCACTCTCTCTCTCTATTGGGATGTAGGCTCCCTGAGACAAAAATTTCTTTTGTCTATATTGTTAATGAACCTGCAGACCTTAGAACAGTGACATTTGCATAGCAGACATGCAACAAATATTTATTGACTGTGGAATGAATGAATGCTTGATAATTACAGTATCTTTACTATATCCCAGGCACTTGACATGCACATTTTCTCATTTAATCCTAACGATAACTCAAGAGGTAGAGATCATTAGATCGTCCAGTCCTCAGATGTGGAGACTGAGGCACAGAGAGGATAGGAAGCTTGCCAGGTTTAAGGAGAACTGGCTTTGATCCAGGTTTTCTGACATTAGAGATGATGTGTGTAACCACTGAGCATAGCACCTCCTATGCACATATGCCAAGTTTTGTCTGTGGCATCCCCACCATTTAGACAAGTGGTAGAAGTATCTTCTTTCGAGAAAAGCACTGGCCAGTTGCCTCCCATGTTCTGCCTTTATGGAGTGAAAGGCTACCTTCCCAAAGTGTTGAGACAGAGGCCATCAATGAAGGGAATGCCACTAGATAACTCTGTGGCTGTGACTTCCAGTGTCCCTGAACCTCAGGTTCCTTGTTGGCAAAGGAGGAGACTGGGTTAGGACCCCTGCCTTCCCTTCCAACGTCATCATTCCACTGTTCCTGTGACTCTCAGGGAGCGGATATGAGTAGAAGAGAGAGGACCACTTGTTGCTAGGCAACCAGCACCCACCTCACCCATGTTGCCATGGTGATGATGAAAGTTGGGCTGATGGGATTACCAGCTCCTGCTAATTGCATACGAGCACTCAGGTCTCTGTCTCTTTCTTGCCTGCTTGCTTGCTCTGACTTTCTCATTCTTCTTGGAACTGTAGAGAGATTTCCCCCTCTCCTCCATCTGCAGCCCCCCCGAGGCAGCTCTGGTGCAATAGAAAGCAACTGGAAATGGAACCTGGCTGTGTCTCTGAATAGCTGTGTGACCTTGGGCAGGTTACCCAGCTTCTCTGAGCCTCTCTTTTCTTATTTGGAAAATGAAGGTGTTGGAATGGTAATCCCTGTCTAAGGTTCTTCCCAGCTCTCAAATCCTTTGATGCCTAGGGAGCATGTCAGGGGAGCAGACCACACTGTTACTAGGCAACCAGCAGGCACCCTGCCCAAGTTGCCTTGGTGACTGGATGCTGGAGGGGAGGGGAGTAGCTGCTGCAGCTAATTGCTTAATTATTTATGAGTGCCTCAAGTCCTCTTGTTGTTTTCATTGCTAGGGGCTGTGGGGTCACCTTCTCTTCCTCTCTTCTGCCACCCCAAGTCGTCTGTGTTGCGTGTTATGCAATGGGAGAGCACGTTGGTCCGGACCTCAAGCTACCCACGTTCTAGTCCCGCCTCTGTCATTTCCTAGAGCTGTGGCCTCGGGTAAGTCACCTCACCTCTCTGGGCCTCAGTTTCCTCATTTGTAAAGTGATGGGTTTGCTTAGATAATCCCTAAGTCCCCTTTCTAACTTGAAATTCTAATTCCTGCCATCCAGATCCCAGATGAGGGAAATTTTCCTAATTTATTATCTTCTAAGAATGATTTTAAGAGGAATAAAAATAATTAAGTCTCTTACACATTTCAAACAGGAAGGGAATGAAAGGTGTACCCATTGTTCCCTCCTTAGCCATTTTGTCTTATCTCTTTTATTAATCGTAAGGTCATTTAAATTTTATCTATTCATATGTACCGCCTACTTCCAAAATAAACTTAAGGGGTTCACAGTGTAAGGTGCATATATGTTATTAGGTCATTAAAATAGAAATAGGAATAAATATAAAAACAATGATGCTTCTTCACTGGCTAATATTGGTGTGGTGATTGTACACCAAATGTAATTATGAGCAGCCTGGAAGCCAAAGCAAAAAGAGAGAAAGGTATATGACTGCTATTCAATAAAGAAAAACTGCCAGACTGTTCCCAGTTCTAAATTCTGGAGGGAATTTTTTCATGTGGTACACATTCCCTTTTATAGAAACTGAAGATAAAAATGCTTGAATAGCCCTTTTTTGCTGCAGATATTGTTAAAGGACATAAGGAAGGAGCTAAACTTGACAGTTTGACTAGTTTTAATCATTAGAAAGCAAAACTTCCTCTCTACCCTTGCCTTGGAATTTTATACAGATATGTGTCACTTAGTAAATATGAATTTTCAGAATCAACCATTATTTATAAATCAGCTATATATAAACTCATGTAACCACTTTGCAGAGCAATTTGGCAATATGTATCAGATTTTTAAATGCAGCCAACAATTCTTCTCCAAACTTATTCTGAGATTAGCTTGTGCAGATGAAGAAAGACATAAATATAAAAATACTTATGGTAGCATTATTTATATAAGAAAATGTCTAGAAACCACATAAATGTTGGAGGCTAGTGAATTAAATTATATTACTTCTTTATAATGAATTACATTGCAGCCCTTAAGATAGAGTATATCTATATGTTGTAAAGTAGAAAAATCTTTAAGGATATAATATTAAGTGGAATAAGAAGGTGCAGTATTGATATTAAATGCTTCTATTTCGATTATTTTAAAAGATACAGATTTATAACTTATAAATCTAGATATATGCTTGTATGTGCATACTTGCATTTTTCTGGAAGAAAACTGTTGCTAGTGGTTTCCTTTGGGAATGAAGATTGATCGTCTTGGGACGGAGACCTATTATTCACAGCTTGTTTTTACCATGTGGACTTGTTAGTGTTCCATGTAGAGAGGCAGGAGAGTCTGGCAGTTGAAAGTCTAGACTCTGGAGTCTGAATACCTATGTTCAGATCCCAGCTTTTCCACTTACTAGCTCTGTGACCTTGGGGTTATCTTTATCTCTGTTCCTAATCTGTAAAATGGGTTAATCGTATCTTCCTCATTGGTTTAAGAATTAAATGAGTTAATAAGGATAAAGTGCTCAGAACAGTTTAAACAATGCCATATACAATGTTTCTTGGAAAAGTGAAAGGAGATATTAAGCAACAAGATAAATGCATCTAACCAAAAGCACCCCTGTGTTTTAGTGTTGGACGGATTTCATAACATCTGCCATTGCTTCCAGCATTGTATGTTGTATAGAAGCTAACTTTAAACCAGGAGTTACAACACAGCAGCCTTGTTTTTATTATTGTCATTTTATGTGACCTTGATTACCTTTCAGGGAGGGCATCTACTCTGATTCATGACAGCCTATTATGATACGGTGAAGCCCCCGAACCCATCTTTTTTCACAGCTCTTCCATCCCAGCGAATGCTCAAGTCATGAACAGAACACGTTAGGCCATAGAGGAACTATCTAGAAATGCAAGAGTAAAGACGATGTCCATGCCAGTTGTGGCATGCATGTGTGTTCACATGCCTCATGCCTTTGCTTTTCTTTTGAAAAAGAAAATGACAGAGACCTGGGGAGGGGCTGTGTTAAGAGGGTCCCTCCTACTTTAGGCTCAGGAATCTCACAGCCTAAGAGACTTCCTGGGTGCTCAGGGGTACAGGAAGCAGAGCGCTCTGTGTTCATAGCTGCCTCTTCCTCCCCACTCGCCGCTACTTTGGGACAGATCTGGAGAACTTTGGCTGATTTGGGGAAACGTCCTCTGAAGTTGGCCACACCTTAAGCCAGGTTTGAGGCCCTCACTGTGGTCACAGGGTGGCTCCAGAGGATGGGCTGGGGGTCCCGGCCCCTTCAAATCAGCTGAGTTAGGAAGTATGTCCTCACCAAGAGGAATGCAAAGCCCATCTGCTCCAACCTCATGCCCCAGTCATGGTTCTCCTGTTCGTTCTTCTGTCTCGCCCTTTGTTCTGTACTCGCGGGCACTGGAGCCTCTTTATCCATTTGGCCATCGGTTCCCCTCTCCATCTATCTGTCACATCCAACTGTGCTTCCATCTGCCCTCCATCTCTTCTTCCCTCCTCCAGCCATCTGCCAGCCTTCCCTCCATCCTTCTGACTGCTGGTATGTCTGTCCATCCCTCCTTCCCTGGCACCACGTGGGTCTGGGGCTCCATCCCCTGGCCCATCCATCCCTCCATCTGTCCCTAGCCTGCCGCTCCAGCCCGCTGCCCTTTTGCCTGGCTGCAGAGCCAGCCCGCAGAACGTTCCCCAGTCCCTCTCACCCCTGTGGGCCCTCTAGTCCGTCCCCGGGCGCCACTCCAGGCCGGGCCGTCGGTCCCCAACACGGGGCGCACGCCTGTGCGGGATCGGCGCCCCCACCCCTCCGTGGGCCTGTCTTTGTTCGGCGGCCCCGGCCCGGCAGTGCCTCCCCCGGCCCCTCTGCGCCGCTCCCAGGCCCTGAGGGCGGCGGGCGGCGGGCGGCGGGCGGCGGGCGGCGGGCCCGGGGCGGGGCGGGGCCCACGGGGCTGGGCGGGGCGGGGGCCGGGGTGACTCAGCCGCGCTCGCCCCGCGGTCCGCGCGTCCGCCGGCCTCGCAGGCGGGGCGGAGAAAATGGCGCTGCCCCCGGCCGCCGCGCCCCCCGCCGGGGCCCGGGAGCCGCTGGGGTCCCGCGCCGCCGCCGTCCCGGAGCCGCCGCTCGGCCTGCAGCAGCTGTCGGCTCTGCGGCCCGAGCCGGGCGGGGTCCCGCTGCACTCGCCCTGGACCTTCTGGCTCGACAGGTGAGGGGGCCCCGGCCCCGCCGCCACCGCCGCTTTGTCTCGGCGCAGCCCCTCGCCCCGGCCCCGCTCCGCCGCGGCGCAGACCCCGGCCCCCCGCGCGTCCGCCCGCGCGCCCCGGACTCGCCCGGCGGGGTCTGAAGGGCCGCGCTGGGCGGCTGTTGGGCGGCCTCGCCTCCGGGCCGGGAGAGGACAGCGCAGCCCCAAAAGTTTCGGCAACACTTTCTCCCCCTGGTTCCCTTCCGAGCGGAGCGCTGCGTGCCGGCCGGGCGGTAGGAGAGGGTGGGCGAGCCGGGGGAGGCCGCGTCCCCGCCGCAGGGAGAGGGCTGTCCTGCTTACCCCGCGGGGCGCCTGGGAGCTCAGGACACGACCTCAGCTGTGACAGCGCTCGGAAAAGTTGTCCATCCCTTGGGAGGTGTGCAGTGGTGCAATAATTGCTGCTTGGCGGGCGCCCCCACCCCATGCCCGGCCGCTGCTGCCTGGACTCCTCTTCCCTTTCTTCCTCATCCGCTGGGCAGGTATTTCCCGAACTCCTACAGTGGAGCCACACACCTGCTATGCGCTGGAGATTCAGTAGTGAGCAGCAGCTCACCTTGTCAGGAAAGGGGAGAATTACGGCTTTCTCAGGGGACAACTCAGGGGTCCTGTTCCCAGAAAGGCCCCCTGACTACCGTATCGAAAATAGAAACCTTGCTCCATCGTTTGGTATTCTCCTGTCCTGCTTTCTTTTTCTTCCTAATGCTTAATGCAGCCGGATTCTATTATATATGAATTTGTTTACTTTCTGTCTGTCTCCCCAGCTCCTCAACACCTCCCCTCTGTTAAGGATAAAAGAACAGTGGCTTTTTGTTTTTGGACGTTTTGGACCTAGAACTGTGCCTGGCCCCTAGTAAGAACACCAGAAATCGTTGACAAATGAATGGATGGATGAGTGCAAAGCCCCGTCTTAGTATCTGTCCCTGCAGTCGGTGCCCAATGATGACACCTCAAGGTTGTCCCAAGAGCATTTGGAAATTTTGATGAAACCGTGTCTCCTCTGGCTAAGTGGTAGGAGGAAATGTGTGACAGTGTTCTGAAAAGTTTGCTTAGTACACACAAACCTGGTTTTAAAAGGCCTTGCATAAAATGACTGCAAGATTGTTTTAAAAAGTGGTATTCATCTTTTTTGGTGAAGACAAGCTCATTCTTTTTGGATTCTTACAGTACTCCTCTATAAAAATTGTCATTTGCTGCCATTTTCTTTGCCGGAGACCAAAAAATGGTGGTGGTGGGGGAGATGGAGTGAGTCTCCTTCTTTCAAAACATTTTCACTTTCATTATGGGATGCTAAGAAAGCATTATACTGTCATAATGAGTGTGGTTTTGGCAGACCTTAGCAGAATGAGATCATGTGTCTGTTTGCATAGGTGGCTGCGACTGTGCTGTTGTTACCTGGTATCAGTTTTTAAGGTGTTAAACCTGGACCTGTGTTCTAAATTGTGAATACTGCTGACTGGTGGAAACAGTATCAAGAGAGTTTCTTTTTAAACAGGTCTAAAATTAGTTTACATTGGTCTAATATGTCAATACGACAAATAACAATCTTTTAAGACCAGTAGTTTAAGACTACAGTAACTTTAGTGAAAACACAAACTGTATTTTACTATTGATTTACACATTTTTGTTCTCTGAAGGTCAATCATCATATGAAATACATTATTGCCACAGTGTCCAGATCTTTAACAGAAATGGCTGTATTAATTTAGAAATTATAATGAGTTCCAATATTGTATATGTGAATTCATTT